TTATATTTTATTTCAATTATTAAATTGTTTGTATCTCAACCCACAGGTTTTACCTTTTTCTGATTCTCCTCCCCATTCTCCAGGGTGGGCTGGGGAGTGAGCAAGCATCTGCGTGGTACTTAGCTGGCGGCTGGGGTTAAACCATGACAACATCTCTAAAGTCAATTGCCTCTGCACTGACACTAGTCAGCAATTCTTTCAGTGCTTTTGGAGTACCTTTCTGCATGCCGGGAAAGCTGACAGGATACTCTGCTTGTCCTTCAGTGCAATACAGCGTGGCACTGCTTTTAGCTGTGAAGAGACTTGTCCAAGGGCACACAAGGGTTTGATGGGCTTGCCAAGTGACAGGCCACAAACACAGGGTCTTGCCAGCCATATACCACCTTTCATTACCCTTATGCCAGTCCAACTCCCTCAATTCTTCCCTTCCCCAGACAGCAAGTATCTTAGTTATTTATAGAAGAATTTCATGTATCTGTTAGTCTGCAAACTACAAAGCAAATGTGCATTTCAAATGAAATGGCTAGGACTTTGACACTTCTTAAAATATACATTTTATTATTTTCTGGTGTTTGCTATGAAGGCTTCATTCAAATTGTGAAGGTACACAGCCTTTACAGACTTCTTGAGTTAAAGGTTTTTGTTGGTGGTTTTATGTTCTGTTTCTTTCATGGAAGAGGAAAATACATAGGCTATAAAATGTGGAAATTCATTAGATGTTTAGTATTACCTCTTCATATATGCTGTGGAATGCTTTGTAGAAATACTATATAAAATAAGGCAGACTTTGACAGGGAATTCAGTCATAAAATTTCATGGGAGAAAACAAAAAGTTCCAACATATTATTTTTGTAGCCAAGAGAAGATCAGGTGGTCATCACCAGTTTGTGGGAGAACTACTGCAGTTCTGGTGCTCAGACAGTATACATTTCTTGTTTATTCTACTATTCTCAAGTGAGACCTTTTCATTAAAACTTATTTTAATTAACATAAATCAGACAATATTTAAACATACACATCTATCCTTACAGTGCAATAAAAATGTATCATTGTATAGTATTTTGTATTTGCATTATGAAAATAAAAGGTCTGTATATCAATTAAATGTATATTAATGAGTATGAATCATGTAAATTTATAATGCATCTAAAGTTGCCTTTGGCTTTTAAGTATTTATAAATTCATAGAAAATATTGAACATCTAACAAAATAAATAAAACATAACATTTTAATCCTAGATGCTAACAATCAACCTCAAAAATTCTTGTTATTTTTTACATTTACATTACTAAATTTCTTAAAGAGAACTCACTTTCAGTAGTGCTCAGAAGTGAATGATTGCACCTTCTGTGATGTGAAAAAATACAGTACATCTATTTTTCATAGATCAGAAATTCTTTCATAGACAGTTGCATTTTAAATGTCTGATTGTTCTACGTAACTGTCTTAAGTGCTTATAAAAAGCATGTCGCTTTCTCATAAAAGCTGTGAGTCTCTATTAATAGACATTTCTTTCTCACTTGCAGGATTGAGGATGAAGCAAAATCTCCTAGTGAATGTCCTTTTTATGAGGATTCCTCAAGGTCTTCCAGCTTCACATACTGGTATGAAGATATCACAAAAACACGTTCACCAATAAACCCTCTTCAGTACAAGTACTGCAGCAATCCAGTGTAATTCCACTTGGCAGGCTTATTTCATTGGAGTCCACACGTGGTAGTTTGTGGAAGTTAACTGCTGACCTCATGTTCTCTTGAATTTGAAAGTTCCCCAAGCGCATGGGCTAGCCTTACTGTAATACTGAAGAGACCAAAACAAATCTGAAATCACATGCACATTTGTTCAAGCTCACTTTTATTCATGTGGTTGGTAAATTACACACCATGGTCTAATTGCTATTCTGGTGGTGGTCGAAGGCCCCGCAGCTTCCTTTCATGTAGTCCTTTCCAGTATTTAAAGTTATTATCCAGATGCCGCATCAAATTTGGCAGGTCTGCAAATTCTAGGGCAGAAAGGGCAGAGTGTATTTAGTTTGCAGAATTGAAACAGTCAGATGATTCTGTCTGCTTAAATATCACTTGAAATGTCTGGGCAACTGTGTTAAGTAGGAAAGCTTAAATCTTTTTTAAGTCATACTGATACTTGAAATGGTTTTGGCTGTATAGCTCTCATCACTCATGTATCACTAAGGCCACTGAGAACAGTTCTGTAAGTCTACTTAATACTGGTCCCAGCAAAGGGACCCAGTTTTCCAGGAGGTGCATAGCTAATTATGCTTGTAATTATTCTACTTCATCAACTCTCAGTCACATGTCATGATCTGGCACTCAGGAGAGTCACATTTCTGACCACTTTACCACAGAGGCAGCACTTGGAAGGAAACAGCTGCTCCCCCAAGCAGTTTCCAGACTGTAGAAACTTGTATTGAAGCATAACTGATGTTAACATGGACAAAATGACTGTGCCCAAAGTGCTATCAAGGAGAATACGTTCTGTTCTCCATTTACAGAGAAGCAAGTTTAAAACAAAGTTAAACATTGCTTGAATCTAATCTATTAAAGAGAAGTCACGAGAATGGCTGGTAGCAGTATCAAAATACTTCTAAGCAATAATGAAGTTATTAAGCTTACTTGAACTGCAGAAATCTTCCCTTTTCTCCTCCTTTCTTTAGGAGCCATAAGAAAGCAATTTTATATCACAGTAGTTTCTAATGTTCACAAAATAGTTATTGTCAGGAAATATAGCAAAGTTTTGCTTACCATCCCAGGCATCGAACATATCAGTAATGAAGTAATTAATGAATGATATTTGGGATTGGGGGATGCTGCAAGTATTTCTGTCAAAAACTGGCATCACAACAGGTAAATCTTCCTTCTTTTCTTCATCAGTCTGCAAAAAACACTCTTGTGATTATTCATCTAAGACACATTCTGTTAACGGGCTTCTTTTAGCAGCAGATTGATTGGCACCGACAAGAACATGCAACTGCTAAATAAACAGAGGAACCCAAATAAATCTGAAGAAGCAGCCATTTAATCCTAAGCACCTAGTCATCTAGGTTTCAGCGAAAGAGCAAATAGTGCCTTCCAGTGTTTCCCACAAAATGATACATTTACCTTCTGCACCTACACACAAAGCTGACCCTAACTAACTTCACAGGTTACTGATTAAGTTATGACTGCTTCTGAGCTAAAAGATGCTCAACCATTTTCAATCTCTGATGGAAGTGACAATCTGGACAACTCAGAGATAGCAAAATATCTTTTTTATCCTCTTTTCCCCCCCTTGAGGTACCAAGTCCCAATTGCAGTATTTGGTCTATCATCTGTAATTGTAACTCTGCTCTCTCCTTTTTCCCCATCTTCCTAAAACCTTTCCTCAGCACAGTGTGCTAAGGTCTTACACCACTTCCTGGAGTGAGTGCTGTTCCCATGCTGACACTAGGACCTGATGATCCTATTCTTGAGGCATAGCCAGCACATGGGTACACAGAAGGCACCCTTCCTCTGTCTCTTGTGATGGGAATGCATTTGTAGGCAAAACTCAAAAAGCCCAGCTCCAAACCAAACAACTTGAAAGCTTAAATTTTTCAAAAACTGCACTGTAGAAGTTGTCAACTTTCGTCTGACTGAAGGCATCTAGTCTTGTATCAGCATGAGTAATATGCCATCATTTAAAATAAAAAAGTTGTTATTTTTTGCATTATGTAATGCAGCCTTAGATGTTCTGGGACACTAACAGTATACGCACCCTTCTCTTCCCTTTTAAAGAGATGCTCACCTGGAATTTCAGCAGCCCATTTTAGCTGCCTTACCTGTGCAAAGTACTCCTCCGAGATGCGTCCGGCCCACTCTATACACTGTTCTATGGGTCTGCATGGATTGGAAATGTCAGCACACTTTATCAACATGCGCTTGATAAGGATACGGTTTTCAGGAGTCGTGAGAACAGTTTTGATTGACTCTCCATCACCATTATTCTGTAACATTTAAGAATTAAAAACAATACATTAGGAAGGCCTCCGTGTACTTGCCTAAAAGCTTTGTGCCTTGTGAATGCTTTCAGCAGATCCTACAGGGATCAGTCCTGCTACTGGCTACTGTATTTGATATCCAACCAAACTGATAGGGGGATTATGAATGTTAGCCACAGCTCTGAACTAGCACTGAACTCCAGTTTCTGGATTCAGTCACTTTCCTTGTGACAGATCTCTTGGGCATCTTTGGGCAAGTCATCTAATCCCTCTATGCCTTATCTGCCTCCTTAGAAGCGTGCAGAGGATCCATTCATCACTACACACATAGTGATGAGTGTGTAAGCAGAAAAATGTAATTGTCTGCTGAAATCCAAGGATTAATGGACTTCCACATTAAGAGTGGAATAGCTGGTTTTAAAAAAAGGGCCAACCTGAGATGCACGGTCATCTTCTGCACACAAACCTCATGAGCATCAATCATTTTGACACCACTGCTACTATTAGGAGAATCAGATCTCACATTGCCTCCCAGGTGTGCTCCTCATTCCCTTCCACTGGACCCATGTTAGCCCATCAGTCTCCGACCTGACTGGGAATTTTGCTTTCGAGAGTTTGTCAGTATTAAAGCAATATATTAGGAACGTGCTTCTAAACAGCCTCATCTTTCCTCTGCAAGTCTAGGAAAGTTTTCAGCCCACACACAGCTTCTATTCGGTTGCCAGGCTGCACCTACAAGCACATCAACGGTACTCTATATTTGGAGCCAGTATACAGCTAATATGAGTAAAGGCTCTGAAGATCCAGATTAGAAGCTATTTTCTGTGGAGCTCTGATGAAGTAAGTTTCCAAAGGACAGAGATTCACGATCAAAGTATCTTTAAAAATTACCTATAAGTACAACATTATTGCTTGACTCTTTAGGGATGGGCAGGTAAAGAAATTTACAACACCGTCTACTCAGAATAGAAACTCTTTGAAGCAAGGAATATACTAGACCTCTCTGGCACCTAACAAGGTCTTGGTCTATAGTCAGAGCAGAGAAGAAGTAACAGTAACAATAATGATAATAATAATAATATGCCACCAGTTCCTGCAGTATTTTGTACGAAGAGGGAGATGCAAAGTGGCAGAAACATTCTGACCTTTTATTAGAACGTACTTTTCAGAAGAAAGTTCTTGTGACGAAGAAAGTTCTTCCTAAAGGAAGAAACTGACAGTAATTAAAACATTATTATTTGGTAGTATACTGGCTCAGAAACACCAGCTCCACAGTTCTCACCAAAATAAGACTCCCAAGCCAATCATCTTCCCTCATTTTTAGATATGTGGAAGGGAAAATACAGAGGAAAAAGTGAGGTGCATACATCTCCAAATGCATGGCAATATTACGTAAAAGAAAGCCAAAATAAAGTGATGGAAGCTCCAGAAACACAAGCATGGAAATTAAGCACAGAAAATTATTAGAGATCATTCAGTTAAGGATAGTGGAGAATATCCTAGTAGGTAAACCACCAGGAATCAAGAAAGGATGTTCACTTCTGTGATCTTTTCAAACCAAGGGCACAGTTCTACTTGATGGATGCAGATGTCTTGGGAATAAAATGTGCTAACTGTGCTTAGTCCCAGCATCCTGCTCAGAGTGCAGAGGTGTCTCTGCATGTCAGATGTTGGCTTCCTGTCATAGGCTTAGGTGACATCATGAAGGGAAATGGGAGGATAAAGGATGCTGGAGCTGGAAAGGATTTTTTTCAGTTTATGAAACAAAAGAAGAAAGGAAGCAAACAGAGCAGCTTCTCAGCATGGCTCTTTGAACAAATATGTATAAAAATAATAAATAAAAAAAATAAGTGGAACTGTCCCATTTGGAACATAGGGTTGGCAGCTCAGCCTGCAAACACTACACTGAGTCACCACCATGACTGGAAACCAGGCCAGGAAACACACGCTGCCGCTGCAACCAGATATACAACCAGACTTGAAAGAGGATCTGCCAGTGTTGTTCTGCTAGTAACAAGCACAGCAAATGATTTGGTTTACCCACTCACACATTACAGGTCTTTTAATAGGAACTGAGAAACTCCCAACCAAAAGAAGGGAAACATTTTGCTTCTCGTTTTCAATAAAAGTTATATAGCCTTTGTCTTTCTTCCCATCCTTGGGTGGAATTTGCTGTGAATCGCAAATGCCTTGTGGGGCAGATTATTTCCCTGCAGCCCCTGGGGCTCAAGGGCAGAATTAAAGTTTTGATTTCTCTATGTCACTATATTTGTTTTTATTGTCTGACTGTACAGGTCCAAGCCCCGTCCTTCAGCAGCAACAGCTACTCAGCTCGCCATAACAGGCAAGAAGAGGAGCCTGGCTCTTTGGGTGGATGCTGCTGCTGAAAAAACTGCTGCATCCCAGTTCTTGGGGCTGGGAGGAAGGGGTCTGTGCACCAAGCCAGGCCAGTACAGAGCCCTCCAGCAGGACCAGGTGCCCTATGGAGTTACGCACTCCACAAGGTCGTCTTGCACTACACCCAGCAGCAGCAGCTCCCTTGTTCTCCTCCATGTCTCTTACCCTCCTACGCTGAATGGTGCTACACTCACCCAGAGGGGCTGTCCAGCTGAGGACTTAACAGCCTTTCTCCTAGTTTAGTCAGTAAAACCAGTATCCTACTGTGACTTTGGCTTCACATTCACATAGTTCTCATTAGCATTGCTGGGTGCCAAGAACAAAGCTAATTCTAGCATATACTCCTGTGGACAAAGGTACTGTCCTCCAATTAAGCTCCAGTCTGCTTCTGATGAGTGAAGGAACAAGACCTGTTTCCTCTCCCACCTTCAGATAATAAAAAGACTGCCCTCCCCCATTACACACAACAGTCATATATGTGGCTTTTGAAAAAACATGGTAAGAAAACACAGAAAACCATTACTGCTCCTACAGGATGTTGCCACCAATGCAAACTTTATTATAACTGTTTCTGAAAATCTTCTCTTTGCAAAAACACATTCCAATGAAATTATACACTGCTCTTACTGGCAACAAAACTGCTGGTTGAAGCTGTTATTGAAACTGGTGTGGTTTTTCAGAATGAGTTCTTAACAGGCAATTTCATTGTGTCCATGGGGTTCCAGATGGCTATTGATTATGTCTATATGATACATAACGCCACCATCATCTATTTTAAAGATTAAAAAAGAAAGTAGACAGAAAACCCATGAATGCTGCCAGGCAGCGCTGAAGGCTGAGGGCCCTCATTTCCAGAGAATGCACCATATGGCAGTCAATATACCTGCCCTTATGCTGCACCATCAGCGGTTCCTGTTATGAGGGAGGGAGTAATTCAGTTTCTGTTCTGAGGCAAATCTTGGCTCCTTTGCAGAAATGGCCAACAACAATGCCAAGTCTTGCCACTAGCACTCTCTCCATGGGAGTGACTGGGTTCATCAAAGTGGCATTTTTAACAGGAAAATATACAGCCCAAGGTTCTGGTCCCAAGTACAACATCATAGCACTGCAATATTAATAGGATCCAAGTGAGTTGCACTCACCCTCAAAATGTGTGATGACCATGTTAAGCAGAACGGTATTCAAACCCAGAGATGAAAGACACATTTCTAGTCTCTCTTTCTCCACGTTTCTGATGAACTTTCTCAGAATACCATGTGGGGATTTTCTACTGCCAAGGGTTCCCAGTCCCTGCCTAGTCATTTTAAGGAGGACTTGCAGTGTCGCTTACCCCATTTTCTTCTAGCGCTGCCAAGGGTTTATTAATGCTGTTGACAAACTTGTTGACATGCTCAAAGTGCTTTGTCATTTCTGTTGCTAAGACTATGTCAATAATGGCTTGGCGAAGGGTTCGATACTCATTCCTGTTTAAAGAAGGAAACAATTAAGAATGCTGGCTGGTTCACAAAGGGCTGCTTGCTAAAACAAGTCTAACAAAAATGCTACAGACCATTTCCGTTGAAGAGAGGTGCTGGGGGAAGAAAGGACAGTAGTAAAGGCTTGGGCAGCTGCGTCTATGCTGGATGAAGTACCCTGTGGTGTGCAGAGATGTATGTGCTAGAGGCATGACTGGATCTCTAGGAGAAACAGTGCAAGAGCTGGGCAGAAGCAGATGCACCAGCTACTCAGGAGGGCTGCCAGGACATGCCACATCAGCATGTTCCTAAGGCTTTTAGCACAGACACTCAGCAGTGGCTCATGCTCCAGCCAAGTTTTCAGCAATACTTCTCTGCTGTATCTTGAGAGGGCTAAGGCAATGGTCACATCCTCATCCTAAATGTCTTTCTAGGGCTGGAAGAAGAACAACAGGTCCTTCACTATCCTTCCCATTCCAACAAGGCATTTAATTTTTGACTGATGCCCTGTGACCCTTTCTATCCTTGCTCTACCCAGGAAACATCTACCCACTCAGCCATTGCCTGTCCTCTATGTCCAATGATACAAAATGATTCTTTTAGACTTGCTAACATTAGGATTTACACTAAATTCCTTAGATAGGGTCCACCTTTTTATCCACAGGAGGAACTGAAACCATGGGATTCCTCCTAAGTCTGTGCAGGACAGGCAGAAGCACTCTACTGTTTTAGAAGCAAACTTCCACAAGGGCTATGGACAGTTATCCACAAGGCACTGCCCTCCTCTAGGATGTTTGTTTGCATTATCTTATGTTACACAGAAGAAAGTGAGAGATGTTAGTGGGCAGACAAGGACCCTGGGGTTTAAGCTTACCTCTCCATGTTTTTAAAAATATTGCATTTGTCATCCTGGGTGGTGAGCTGGAAAGCCAGGGCAGCATGATGGTTCTCCAGCACTGCGGTGTCATTGTAGAGAATTGCTAGCTTACTGCCAGCATTGCACAGGAAAGAATTTGTTCTTCCTGGGTGATCCACGTCATGGACTGTGGCAGCAATGAGTGCGGCAACCTCATCAATTGTATCCAAAGTTTGCTGAAAATAGAAGGATGCTTAGTTTTCCTGGCAGACTCATTAGAAACCCTATTCTGTCCATAAGATTAAGCCAAGTTAAGGAATAAAAGCCAGAACTCTGCAGATCAGTAAGGGTCAGATGTTCTAGACAGAGCAATGGAAAATTCATTATAAGCTTCATTGAACACTGCATGACTTTTTTGGCTGTTTTGTGCCTCTTGAATTTTGCCTTAGCCACACCTTTGACAAAGCACATCAAATCAAACAAATGCAAAGTAATAAATTAGTTTCTGTTTTCTAACAACACAGAAACCACCTTCACTTGGATTTAGGGTATTTGGCTTGGAAAAAAGACCAATACTACTAAAAATTATTCTATTTCCACCAGACCCCTTAATTTCTTTTGGAAACTTAATGCGTGCTAATCACATTCCACTTATGTTCTGGCTAGGTTTACAGTTTGTAAGGAACGTTTCCCATATATCCAGTTCTATAACAACAGTGTCCTGGGGCTACAGCTAATATGAATTCTGTGAAGAATACTTGATGGTTTACATCCATGGAAAAATTACATGACACACTGTTCTATGCTTTCTGTATCAGATTCTGGTTCTGTTAGCGTGGAGTACTTCATGTTTTATGTCTACTTATATTGGTCATTGCTTTATGTCTAATTATATCTACCCTATAATGAAATACTATTTGACTTTTAAGGTTTCATACTTAAGTTTTAATACTTTAATAATAGCATAAAGGAGAAAAAGAACCAAGCATCTCAGAAATATATTGTATACATTTGGAAACCTTGCTCTAAATCGGAGACATATGGATTTGACAGATGGACCACTCAGTGGGTAAGGAATTGGCTGGATGGTCACACTCAAAGAGTTGCAGTCAACGGCTCGATGTCCAAGTGGAGACCAGTGACGAGTGCTGTTCCTCAGGGGTTGGTACTGGGACTGGCGCTGTTTAACATCTTTGTCAGTGACATGAACATTGGGATTGAGTGCACTCTCAGCAAGCTGTGTGATTCAGTCGACACACTGGAGGGAAGGGATG